TCTGGCTGCTCGTACAGCTGGCCCAGGAATGGCCATTGTTTCTTTATTCTGAACATTTCTTTGTTCTGAGTCTGCAATGTGGGGCAGTGAAAGACAACATTAGTCATGGTTTCCATCCCAACTTTATGCCAACATTAATATTTGGAAGGAATGGAATTATGAGTGCTGAATACTTTTCTTTTACAGGGTGTCATTGCAACCAAAGTCACGCAACAGAACACCTGCTACATTTCCATCATGAACAGAAGCGAGATGCCCCTCTTTGATAACCTGGCCCACCTGGCACAAGAGAGCAGGGTAAGATGCCAAAGGTGTAACCGGTTCCTGGCTCTGGGGATCATCAGTCCATTTCTCCATGTGCTTCTTCTTTCTGGGCTGGATCAGGTTGAGTCTTGTGGCAGAGTTTCCTTTTGCTCAACAGTCATGCTGATTAGGAATTTGTTGTAGGAATGCTTATCCAAAATAAAGGGGTAGCATTATTCCCACCCCACTTTCCTGCAAGATGTTGAGCTGTGCAGCTTGGTGGACAATCCCATTCTTTGTGATGCCTTCCAGTACTTTCTTTGTGCTGCCATGTCCCCGCCAGTTCCATTCACCTTGACTCCCTGAGAATGAGCTCTGCCTTTGGAGGTCCATTCAAGACTTGCTAGTGGTCCCACAGGCCCCCCTGGGTATTAAAAGGCGTCCCGAAAAGCAATTGGGAGTCAAACCCCAAGCCCTGAATCATCTTTGCAGAGGAACAGGCCTAGCAGGAACCACCTCTGTGCACTGAGCTTGCTGAATGCTGGTTTTTAATGTTTAGAACCTGATCGGTGGTTTTGGAAGATCTACCAAGAGGATCACCTTTGTCACCAATGGACTGGTCAACAACCTCAACTCCTACGGAATAGACATCACGGCTATGTGCAGCGGACTCACCACCTACATGGCTTACGAAGTTAACAGTGAGTGCAAGCATGGCAATTCTCAGTGTTACTGACCTGGCCTGTTTTCACCTTGGGGCATGTCTGAGGCACAATTGCTGCTCTTCCACCTCAAAACCCAAAGAAACCAAGGGCTGCAGCAGTTGCACAAAGGGTTTGGCAGCTCGGCAGATCGAGACAGGAACAGGGTGGGGTGACAGCCCCCAAAAATGACCCAAACCAAAGCCTTAGAGTACCTCTCCAGCAAGCTTAATGGGGCTCAAATTTGGGGCCAGAATGTTTTTACTCACCTTGCACTGTCCTGGTATACCCAGTCAAGAAGAAGACTTGTCCTAAGAAGTGCTGTCCTTCAGCTTGCTAATGAGTTGGCTCAGGAAGCCACCAAAGCCTTGTGCTTCACAACACTAAGCCAATTTCCTCTGATACCTGGAGGTTTTTCTCTGAGACAATGATCCCATTTCCCAGGGCTAAAATGATGTATACATGGTAGGATTCTTTCAGAACATCACAGCCCATGTGATTGGGCCCATGAACTGGCAGCTGCATCGCCGTGCCATACTCAGCCATTGGGACTCTCAGGACAAAGTGCAACAGAGCCCCGATTTCTGCACAGGACATACCCAAGGGTGTTCAAGAGCAGGTCTTTGTGAGCATTCCAGGCTGAGCCACAGAGCTGGTGCTCACTGGGGACTCCAAGAGAATCTGTGACTTGCACAGCTCAAACATTCCCAGAGCAGCAACTATTCATACCTGGTGTGCTCTGAGCAACACCACCACCCTTCTCTAGAAGGTCAGCCAAGGTCTTAGGCATCAGCTCATGGTGAATTTTCTTTTCTTTTCCAGCTTCCCAAGGACCCCAGTTGAATCTGGGATCATGCATTACCCTCGATGTCCTGAGAGTTGTGGACCTGAAGTACTGCATTGGCAATGGCAGTGTCAATTTCCCGGTGAGAAAACCTTAGCCCTTAGCTTTCTTGAACTAAATGGGGTCCCCAGAGGGCAGCACTTCTTCCACTGTGGCAGGGATTTTTCATAAAAACTACACACATCACTGTCTCCCTACAAAGGCGAAACTTCTTCTTCTCCTTGGCTTTTCAGACTCAGCAGATTCCCAGCGGCATCTTCAACAACACACAAGTCATCATTGGTGGCCAGTCCCAAATTGTGACCATCAACAGGCAATGGCGTGTGGCTGTCATTGAGCAAAGGAACATCACTGGGTCCTGGAAAACCATCTGGAACTACAACACGGTGAGTGGCAGGGACAGGGGCTCCTTCAAAAAGCATCCATGGAGTTTGGTTGTTCCTACAGCTGGTTCAGGGATGGTGGTTGTTCCTTTATTCTGAGTGTTTGGAGTCCACAGTTTCAGAGCATTTACTCTCAGCCCTCGTTATGATTTCCATGTGCCGAATTTATCCCAACATTAAGAGTCGGAAAAAACAGAAATGTGAGTGCTCAATAATTTCATTTCACAGGGTGTCATTGCAACCAAAGTCACTCAACAGAACGCCTGCTACATTTCCATCATGAACAGAAGCGAGATGCCCCTCTTTGATAACCTGGCCCGCCTGGCACAAGAGAGCAGGGTAAGATGCCAAATGTGTTGCAGGTTCCTGGCCCTGGCGATCATCCGCCCAACTTCTTCATGTGCTTCTTCTTTCTGGAGAAGTTCAAGTGGTCACTAGTGGCAGACTTTCCTTTCACTTAACAGAAATGTAGATGAGTATTTTGCTTTAGGAATGCTTTGCCAAAATGAGAAAGGGGCAGCATCATTCCCTCCCCCACTTTCTCTGAGGATGTTGGCCTCTGCAGCTCCCTGGGCAAACCTCTTCTTTGTAGAGCCCTTCAGTGCTTTTGTTGTGCTGCCACTTCCCCTCAAGTTCCCTGCACCTTGAGTCCCTTAGAACAAGCTCTGCCTTTGAAGCTACCTTCAAGGCTTCCCAGTGGTCCCACAGGACATCCAGGGGATTAAAAGGTGTCCCTAAAGACAGGTGGGAATCAAACACAAGTCCAGAGTCCTCCTCCCAGAGCGAGGAATAGCC